CAAGGCAGCCCAGCCTGGCACTTCTTGCCTCCCCAACACCCACCCAGCAGCCTAACAGGCACCAGCGTTCGGCTCCTTCCCTTTTCCTTGACCAAGCAAACCCCATCCGATACGCCAAATGCATCTGCAAACTTCGGAGCTGTTTCTGTAACACTTTTCCTTGGCTAAGGTAATGAAGCTTCGTTTAAGCCACGCAGGGTTTCTCCTTCACCTGCACGCTCTGGCGGCGAATTCGCGCTCGCGGCTCCTGTGTTCCGCTCCCCTCCTCTGCTCCCTGGCCAAAGGGAGGCACAGCCTCGCTCAGCGTTACAATTTCTGGCTTCTCTTCCTTGATTTCCACCTCCCCCTCCCCAGATATACCAGGCCTTGGGGAAAAAAAATAAAAAAGAAAAAAAAAAGAAAAAAGAAAATAACAGCCTTTAGTTTGCTGCTTGTATTTTCTAGACACAGTGCCCTGACATTGAGAGCAAACAGTTATTAAATAAATGCATTGTTAGGCATGCTTTTAGTCCTGACACCTCTGGTAAATCTGCATTTGTTATTTAGTGAATTAAGTGGTTTTAAATCAAGTTATAATCGGTGGGTGCCCTTGTACGCGGTATTTTATATCCTCCTGTGCATGCTTTGTTTGCAATTTCTGTACAATTTCTTTAGGTGCATTATATATTTTCCTTGAAACAGCGGCACGCTCTGCCCTGCTACCTGGCTCTGCAGAAAGCATCCCACCCTGAGCAGCCTGCCTCCACGGCTCGACGTGGGGATGGGGTCCACGCCTCAGGGTGTCGCCCTTGGGTGCCCACCCAGCTGGGTGCTGCAGCCACTCCAAGGGGAGCCACCTGGGGAGGGTGTCCGGGGAGAGCCCATTGCCCAGCCTGCTGCCCCTGCCCGGGCTCTGAACACCCAGGACGTCTGCTGAGATTTTCTTCCCAGCCATGGCCAGTGCCAGGTCACAGAGTGCCCGTCTCACCATGATGTGGTCACTTGCATCCCTCCGTGACATGGCCATCTCCATCTCCATCTCTCCGTGGTGTGGTCACCTCCATCTCTCCATGCCATGGCCATCTCCACCTCCATTCCTCCATGACATGGTCACCTCCATCTCTCCGTGGTGTGGTCACCTCCATCTCTCCATGCCATGGCCATCTCCACCTCACCAAGTTGCTCTCAGACCTGGGAGTCTGAGCCCAGCCAAGACACCCAGCACGGCGCTGCCTTCTGCATCAAGAACCATCTCACCTAACTTTTTGGTGCCCCTAAGCCTGGCTGATCCTTAAGACCCTGGCCATTTAAGGTCACAAATGTGCAGAAGCCTGACCAAACCTCAGATTTTCCACGGGGACTTTCCACCAGCCTAGCAGAAATTCCTGCCCACCTTCCCACCACTGGCATGCCAGCAGAGGCTGTGCCATCACCCACGAGCTGTTGTCCCCTCGCTGCCCCTCCACGTCCTCCCCCGGGGGGCACATCCCTTGTTGCCCCCGCTGCCCCCCCTCCTCTTTGCCCATTTATCTCCTCCGGCGGGTGATTATACATAAATATGAGCAACTGTGTCTGCGCCTGACCTTACCTGCCCTGACTAAATTCATGTAGTGTCTGTGAAGATAATTCTAAAGCCATAAGAAGATAATAAAAAAGGAAAGATAAAAAAAAAAAAAGGGCAAGCATTGTGGTTTGTATTCTCTTATCTAACCTCCTGCAGGCCCGGGTGGGAGAGCGGCCCCTCGCTATTTAAAGGGATGCTGCAGTTGGGAGCGCCGCAGAGAGGGCGAGCAGCCCGGGTGCTGCTGGGGCTGGTCCCGGTCCTGAGAGCTGCTGGGGTCAGGGGCGGGGACCCCCAGGGGAACCCCACTGACAGCAACCCCCCGGCCTGATCCTGTCCCCACATCCTACTCAAATGGTGGGCAAAGGGAGCGGGAGGATGCTGCGGGTGAGATGCCCGAGGTGGCAGAGGATGGGCGCACGGCCCCGCAGTGAGCTGGTGGCCAGCTGGGGAGGCTGAGCTGGGAAAGGGAAAAACGCATCCCTGGGGGTGATTTTCCAGGTAAAAATCCCCCTGCTGCAGCACCCAGCCTTTGCTCATGAGTGCATCGATTGTGGGGACAGAGGGGATTATCAAAGAGTTCATCGCGGCGGTGTCATCTGCGAACGGAGCGGGTTGTCAGATAAACGGCACGGAGCCAGTGCCACCAGGGGGGAAAAGTACAGAGCCCCCTCCCAATGAGACCCTGAGGAAAAGGGTTGGTGCCAGGGCGAGACGTCCCCAGCTGGCCCCCAGCTCTGGGAGGCAAGGTGTGAAATGTCAGAAATTTGGACATCCCTGCAATTGTTTTCTCACGGAGTTAAGGATCTTCAGCCCCGAGCCGGAGCACAACCAGGACACGGAGCTGGGTCCTGGCTTCACCATCCGTGCCAGCACCCAGTGTGCTGTGTGCTTGAAGGCACGAGGCTCGGCTGGAAATCGCCCCAGGCCAACTCCAAATGCTCCAGAGCTTTGTCCAAAGGCACTTTGCTCTGTTTTCCCCTTAGCCTTGTTTTTATTTATTTGTTTGTTTGTTTTTGTTTTTTTTTCATGGTTGGGATTTAAGCACAATAAAGCCAAACGATGTCAGTGTCATAACAAGACTAAAACCCCACCAAAGAACCCCAAAACCCCATGAGCATCCCAAAGGAGGACATGGTTATGGGGATCACCACCCCTTAGCATCCCCAGCGCCAGGACAGCAAGGCAGGGCTGCATTTAAGGGATGCTCCCTCCTTGTTCCTTGCACCACGGCGGGACGTCCCCGCCGGAGAGGGTCCTGCTGGGCGAGGGGCTGATGGAAGAAGGGACACGGGGACAGCCACCGCCAGGAGCACGAGGAGGGGGACACCAGCCCGCCGCCCCCCCACCACCACCCCCCCCCCAGTACATGGAGAGGGCTTTCTTCCGCCTTTGTTCGGTGGCTCCGAAGTGGTGTCGCCACAAAGGCCGAGGTGAAAGGGGTTAATTTGGGGGACAGAGGTAGGATGTGAAGATGCAGAGCGGGACAATGGGCCGCCTTCCTCTTTTGTCAGCGCGGCCATTGTGCCGCGTGTGAAAAATGAAATCTGTTTCATTTTGTTCCCAGATGCGATCGGGCGCCTCTATTTAGAAGCCATCAAAAAAAGCCAGCCAAGTGTTGGGGGGGGGGGGGGGGACATGACAGGGGGGGACGCAGGCCTGCCAGACACGGACAGCCCCACCCCGGAGCGGCCTTTATTTATTTATTTGGGGGTTAACATTTATTTAGATTTAACCCGCTCCCTGCCTCCGGCATTCAAGTGGCCGAAACAATCGGCAAAGTCAGGGGAGAGAGGGTTTGGGTGGCGGTGGAGTGTCCTCCCACCCGGAGCATCTCCACCCCAAAGCATCTCCCATCCCGAGCATCTCCATCCCATATCATCCCCAATCCAGAGCATCTCCATCCTAGAGCATCCCCATCCCATAGCATCTCCATCCCAAAGCATCCCCAATCCAGAGCATCCCCATCCTAGAGCATCCCCTATCCGAAATATCTCCCATCCCACAGCCAGGCACTGGGATAACCCCTCTGGCTGTCCCACCCCGTCCCCTTTCCCCCTCGAGTTTTACAGGAAGGTTGGGCAGCTTCGTCGCTGCTATTTATCAGCGTTTCCCCTTAATCCCTGCAGAAGTGGAAGGAAACCCGGTCCCGGCGCCTTCCCCCCTCCCTCCCTCTCCCCGAAGCAATCTGTGGTTTTGCTACCAACGTGAGAAATTTTCACCTCCAGCGAAGGTGTGAAACTTGGCAGTTTTGTTCCCTCCGAGGGGAATCGCAGCCTTCGCAGAATGCAAACAAACAAACAAATGCAAATTAGCCCCTAAAAAAAAGCATGTTTTTTCAATACGCATCTTAACCTTTGCCACAAATTAACAAATCCAGCTGGAAACCCTCAAGATTTATTTTTCCCATCCAAACACACAGCTGCTTTTCCCCCAGGATGCTGGCGGAGGTGAGAGGCACCAGGCGGCGGGTACGGGATTTGGGCAGGGGACAGAGCCGGGGCAGAGCCAGCCCCGAATGCAGCAGGGCAGGATTTGAGAGTCAGGGCAGGATTTGTGTATCAGGACAGCCCATCTCCCTTCTGCAGACCCAACAAACTCATTCCAGCCACGGATTTGGATATCCTGGGCAGGGCTTTTCCCGAGGTGCCTGCAGGTGATGAGCCAAGGAGCAGTGGGGATGTGGCACCGCAGGGCTGGGACGTGGCCAGGAGCCTGTCCAGAGGAAAGGGACAACCTGCCCTCCATCCAGCAGGGCACGTCGGGTATCTCCACACCTTCACGTGCATCCAGGACCCATCTGACCCCAGCATCACCCTCCGGCTGCTCGCCCCCTGCTCCCACCACCGTCCCCTGCGTCCCCCCTGGTGGCCCCGAGCGGGACCTCCCGGCGCGGGGCTGGCAGGATGGCAACGTGGCGGCGAGGCCGTGGGTGTCACATCACATAAATCAAGCTCCGGAGCCTTCCTATTTAACACACTCTTCCCCTTCGAGTTGTCAGTGAAACCGTTAATTAATTAGCTAATCCCGCCATGAAGTGGATTCTAAATGGGTCTCCCCTCCCTTCCCCCCATTTAGGTAATTACTGCTGAGGGAGCTTTTGTGAGAGTAATTTTCCAGCAGGGACAGCCCCGGATGGCTGAGGGAGATGAATTTGAAGAGGGGGGGGAATAATAATGCAAACGGGTGTGCGTGGGGGGGATAAAGGGCTCCTCCTGCAGGGTGCTGCGCTCCGGAGACCCAGCTGGGGCCAGCATCTTCTCCCCGTGGTACAGGAGGACCACGGGGCTCAGCCTGGGGAGGCTGCAGCAGGAGAGGCTCCCGGTGGCCTCAGCAGCGTGTCCTCACCACCAGGCAGCAAAATCTGGGTGCTGTCCCTGTGCCAAGGTGATTTGGGTGCTGTAGAGGGTCCCCACGTCCCCACTGTGTGCGCCCATCCTGCCTAGAGCATCCTCACACCTGGTTTTAAAGCATTTTCCATAACAAGGCCAAACCCCGAAGCCTTGAGGATTTTTCCCTGCCAAACAAAGCAAAAGGTGATTGGGTTTCAAGGCTGAGCGGAGAAATACTCAGCGGTCCCCGGGGCAGCAGCTCTTGGGGCATTTATTTCAGTCGAGGCAGCACCAGAAGCAGCGTTTCTCCTTCCTATCTTGCTCTTTCCATGCCCCCGAGCAGCTCCAAAACCCTTTTTTGTTCCTCAGAACCTCAAACCCAGTCTCCAAGCGAAGATTTTCAAAGGCACGCAGAGTTTCAGATCCTCAGCTTCATGTCCACGAGTCGTGCCGTGTCCAACAGAGATACCGCGCCAGTGGCGCAAGCCCGCCCGCTGCAGCCGAGCGCCTTTGAGCCGCCTCGCATCGCTCACAGACGCCTTCAGAAATCAAAGGTTTCATCTGAAAATCGTGCTTTGGCTGGCCTTTGGGTGCCAAGAAGTCGATATGCCCAGCGCAGCCACAAATACACCCGCCCTGCACCCATCCAAGGTGCCCCAAGCATTTTCTCACTGTCACGGGGCAGGAGGTTGTGGGGAGGTTGCTCCGATTTGAGCAGGTGCCTGCAGCTTGTCTGTAGGGGAAATATTACCAACAGCTTGGGATAAGTGTCCCCATCCCCTGAGAAGGTTCCCTGAGCAGCACCCAGTTGGAAAATTCACGTTTTCTTCCCTCCTTTGCCACGTACAGATGAAGTCGCCCTGTGACACCCAGCTGGGATGTCTCCTCCCTTTGGTCTCTCGCTGCACCCCACAACAGGCTCCCAGAAGCAGGGATGGTGGAGACGACTTCTCTCTGGCTCTGGAGAGGTGATGAGCGGGCTGCTACAGCTAGGAGCCTGTTAATACCTTTTTTTCCCCAAGGCTTTCCCCAAATACAGCTAGGAGAAAAGATGGGTGCACCTCTGCGCCTCTCCTTGTCTTCTGCTGCTGCAGCCGAAGCATCCTTTAGGACTTCCCACCCTCATTTTTCTGTATGGATCTTTCTCCTCCAGCTGCCTGCAAACAGCCTGCCAGGGACTGCCCTTGTCTGCTGCCTCCTCCCAAGGAACAGCCCAAACCTTAGCGGTTTTGTGTTGCAAACTGGGGACAAAAAAATGTCCTGGCTCCGAGCTGAGCTGGGGATGGGACCGGCTCTGGGGTTCCTGCAGGAGAGAGGCCCCCAGGGATGGGGCAGGAGGGGCTGGGGGGAGGAGGTCAGAGTCCACTCAGACCACGGAGGATATTTCACAAGTTGTCGAGGGCAATCTGCAGCCTTTCTGCTTTGAGAGATAAGGCTAAGCTGCGAGGCTGAGCAGGATGCGGTGGGGCGATGGCTCAGACTCTGGGTGTTGCGTTGGGAACTGAAGTGACACGGGGCTTACCGGCACGTCCGAAGGATGCTGTCTTGGCCGGGATGAGATGGTGCCATCCCCTCGCCAGAAGCACCCCTGTGGCAGGTTTGGTCCCATCAGGAAGGTACATGGAGAGGAAGAAAAGAGCCCAGAGCAGCTGTTACAGCCTCTGCATCCTTCCTCCAGCCACCACCCCATCGCCAGAAGCTGCTCCCGCTGCAATCTGCGCCTCCCCTCTCCGCCTCGCTAGGAGCGAGTGCGGTCAGCCGGAAAATTAAGACCCGGGGTTGAACCCAGAGGGGCACCGAGCGGGGCCATGGGGATCGGAGCAGCCAGAGCAGCCCCCTGGCACCTCTGTGCCAGCCCCGCTGCCCACCCTGTGCCCAGGCATGGTAAATCACTGCTGACAGCTCCGGCGGGCACGGGGCTCGCGTGCCTGCCCGCTGCCTCCCGCGTGCAGCTGGCGCGGGCGGAGGTCCAAGGTCAGCTAAGTGCTTAATGGGCCTCCCGCGAGGACCTGCGCTGAAAGGCGGGCGAGGAGGGAGCATATGTCACCGCCGGAGCTCCGGGGCTGCTTGGGAGTGACAGGAGGATGCTTCCCATGCGGATAGGCGAGCACAAGGGGCTGCTTTCCCAAGCTTTTTTCCCCGGGAGCGCAGCAGGGACCTGCAGGTCCGGAGGGTGGATGCACACCCAGGTGCCCTTGGCATGAGGCTGCCCAATCCAGGTTTTATTTGGCCAAGGAGGCTGAGCAGGAGAAGGAGGAGGTGTGGGAATGTTCTACAGCACCAGCTCCAGGTTTGAGCAGGAGAAACGAAGAGGAGACAGCACCCGGGGGTGAGCTGCCTGGCCAGACCTCCGTGGTTGTGCCCTTGAGGTCTCCAACCCAGCACACCTGGGTCCAGCTCTGAGCATCTCCCAGTCTCGGCACCGCTGGTCAGCACGAGTGCAAAGCGAGTTTCCATGCAACCGAACACAAACACCTTCCTGAGCTCCTGGCCGAGCCACGATATGTCATGAAATTCATGACAATTTCAGCAGGATGTCCTCGCTGCTCTGCCAGAATGAAGGGGATGTTACGCTCTGACTCAAACTGAACATTTTGGAGCTGCTTGAAACGTCATGGCATCTGGGTGGTCCCTGTTAGAGGCATCGATCTCTCCACGATCACAGTACTGCACCCTGCAGTAACTCCCTGGTAGCCAGTCCCCTGGGCAAGAACATTTCTGGATGAACACAGGGATTTCCTACTACTGCAGCCAGACAAAACACAGGGGCTGAGCCCTGTCCCTCGGAGGATAACTGGTACAAGCAACCATCCTGAAGCACACGAGGTGCTGCCCCCCTCCTGCAGCCAGGGCTGCAATTCCCAGAGCCTCTCTGCAAAACCTCTCACCTTTCCCTAAGGGGAAAAATATTTCTACTGCTGTCCCATGCCACCTTTCCCCCTTACACCTCCACACTCATGACCACGAAGCCACGAGCACCGTGCACACACAGCAGCATCCAGCTCGAGCCCGTTATCCAGGCACAGGTGGCATCAGGGTAAAGCTCTGCCCAAGTTTGCTTTTCCCCCACATTTGGGCACCAGAAAAGCTTTGCCTGAGGATGCTGCTGCCCCCCCTGCACCCCCACAGCTCCCCAGTCTCACAGTTGGTGGCCAGGCACCGAGGGCTGGTGCCCAGCAGCACGTCCCGGGGGGAACGAGGGGGGGAGAGGAGGCCCCTGGGGACGTGGGGTACGAGGTTTGCTTTCGCAGACTGAATCAAACGTTGGGAAGCCGGTGAATTAGCAGTGTTTGCTGAGCAAACGCTGCCGGGTGGGGACAGGCAGAGGAAGAGTGTTTAAGCACACAGTCCTTTATTTGCTAGCAAACATCTCCAGCTCCTCCTCTCCCTCCCCTGTGCCTCCCTGCGCTGCTGCTCCAGCAAGGCTGGGTGATGCCTCCCAAGGCAAGGAGGAACGAAATTCCCCCGGGGGGAGGGAGACCATGTGGAAGAAGCATTTTTTGTTTCACCAATGTGCCCACACCAGAGCACCCAAAAGGATGGGGGTGGTGGATTTGGAGTGCAAAATCCCAATTGGGGGTGGATTTTGTTCAAAAACTACAGTCACCTCCAGCATTGCTGCCCTTCTGTGTGCTCTGGAGGGGAGGGCACTGAGGACACGGCAAAGCACAGGACACACAGCAGAGGTTTGGCATCACTAGAGCAGCTTGTGAGCGCTCTTAAAGCCCTGGGGCACAGCTACTGGGTAGGATTGCTTCTTGCAAGCCGAGGTAGGGAGCTTCTTGGCCCTGCTGGCTCGTGGGGTTCTGGTGCTGAGCTCAAACCCCTCTCCTGGCACAGCCCCAGGAGGAGCTGATCTGGGAGGTGTTACCAAGCTTGTTCAGATGGCCCAGCAGGAGGGATTTCACCTGCTGGCCAGGGGTTCACTGGGATTCAGCATACAGGGAGCTGCTAAAGCCATTCTCTTGGCTCTGAGAAGTCCAACATTTCATCTAGCTTGCGCACCACATGCCATCTTCGGTGATCGCAACCTGCTTGACCAGACCTCGCTTATTCCTTGGACTCAGCCCTACACCAGACCTGGAGCACACCTCTGCCAACCACCCGACCTCCTGCTGTGACACTCAGCTCCATGGAAAGGGCAAAGCTCGAGAGCCCTTCCCTTTCTGACCTCTGAGCAGGTCCAGATACACCTCCTCTGGAAACCCCAGCTGACAAACGGGGCTGGCTTCCCACCCTGAAACTCCTCCCAGGCGCCAGGAGGAATTTCATGGACCTGTTGATGCTCCGCGCCACTCTACTGCAAATCTCCTTCCATCGCTGGCCAACGACTGCAAAAATGCCACAGCCAGGTTGCCACCTCCATTCATAAAACATCCTCCCCTGCAACTGCTGGACCGGCTTTTATGGAGCTGTCTTAATGCTCATTCACCCTTTGAAGGCCAGGTGCTTAGCCAGCAGCTGTGCTGCACGCTGCTGCCTGAATTACTCATCACGGGCAGCGCGTGCATCATTCATTATTAACTGCTCCGTGTTCGCCCCGAGGCTTCATCCAGTGCCACCGCCGTGGCTGCAGGAGGAACGCAGCCACCCGTGAAAGCAGCAGCACCCCTCACGTCTACCTCTGGGGGATGGCACTGCTTTTTGGGGTGCTCAGTGGCACTGAGGTGCCTCCAAGAAAGAGCCCAGCCCTGCCCTGGTATCCCCCCAGCACCGCAGGGGAGAAGGATTAGAGACAAAACGTGCGCAAAATTAGTCCCCAAGACATAAATTACAGGTGGCGAGAAGCCTTCAGCTGCTATAAATCAGCAAAGCCTCGCCGAAGTAAGTGGAGCAGTGCTGATTTACGCCGCCTGGCAGCTCGGGCTGGCCTTTGGAGCTTTGTCTGGGATTAGTGGGAGGAATTGTTGGGGAGGGGAACACTCTCATTACCTTGTCCCGCTCGGCGCTTTGCTTTTCTCCGGTGCGTGTTGTTGTCGGGAGCTGGATCTAATTAGCCATTGCAGGAAATGCCTCGGCTTCTCCTGTCCCCCACCGCTCGGCAGGGGAGGGAGGGGCTAATCCCGGCCAACGTGGGAACGAGCCCTGATGCAGAAATCGGGGCCCGATCCCAATATTTGCTCTGCAAAGCAACACAGGCACACGGAGCCTGGCTACCTGGGGGGCAGGAGTGGAGGTTGGAGATGTGCTACCTACAGCACAGCCTGGTGGGGGGGGTCTGAGCCCTCAGGGCTGCTCTTAAGCAGAGCTGCAGGGCTGTGGGTGGGACCCCAGGTGAGGCTGGTGAGGGTAATTAGTGCCTTGGAGGATCTGATGAGGTTTAGCTCTGCAGCATGTGATTCCCTTCCCTTGAATTGATTCAGTCCTTTTCCATCAGGTGTCACCTGCGACGTGACCCCCAGCAGACACACCACGTTAAGGTTTGGGGTGTCCGAACGCAGAGGGGTTTGCTTGCAGATGGGGTCAGTGAGCGCTGTACAAGCCGTGGAGATGCAGACATGGGGGTGCCATGCTCTGCGGGTGCTGCTGGCCCCTGGGGGGCTGAGAGCAGCGTTGGCAGGATCCTGGCACCCAGGCGGCACCGAGCTCCTCCGAGCCCATCCGTGTGGGCTCCAGGACCTCGCAGAAAGCTGGCTTTGCTAACTTTGCCATCTTCCCAGTTTGAGGAACCCTTGGGCTGAGCAGTGGTAACCGGCACGCTCACACGCTGAAAATACCGTGGCAGTGGTAAATGCTAAAACAGCACGGGGAGCTTCTCACCACGAGGATGGCTTTGATTCAGTGCGATGTATTTAGCGCTGCGGGGCTGATTTACACCGAAGTCAGAAGGTGGGCCAGCAGGAGAGGGAGGAATTACCACCTTCCGCAGCAGGACCAGCACTGGAAAATATCTCCCTGTGCCTCAGCAGCCGCAGGTCGCAGCCTGACGTACGGGCACATCTCCCCTCCTGCTCCCAAAGCAATAACCCCCAGGTTACCTCAGTCAGCTGTGAGTTCCTGCAGACCAAACCTAAAACTTCAGGTGCACAAAACACGTTTAATGCCCATGGGCTGACCCACGGAGCACCCCTATTCACCTGTCTTGATTCCCAGACACTGAATCTTTGATGAGAGCAAGGGCAGCCCCTGAAATCCACATTGCCTTTTGAAACCCTCAATTTTTGGTTATAAAGTTTTCCTCCGTGCTGATATGGGTTGAAATGCCATAAGACATCTGCATGGGTTGCAGGGACAGCACCTGGTGCCCCAGAGATGTTTCTACCCCTGGCAGCTGGTTGGGTGTGGGGTCCTTCAGCATCCTCCAGAGCTTCTCTCCTGAAGGGCTTTGCCATGTGTCTCACACCTGGAGCGGGACATGCCATGAGTAAAGCTTCCTGGGATCAGAAAGTCAGGGGGAGCCGCAAATCTCCAGCACGGGGCAGGTGACACACGTAACGGTGCACGTACGCACACGCTGCTCCCCATCTCCTCGGGCTCCTCCTGCTCCTTCCATCTCTTTCATTCTTCTGAAAGGGGACTTTGCCATTCCTGGGCTTTGTTGGTGGCAAGGAGGATACTGGATAAAGAGTCTGAGAAAGTGAAAGAGGGTGCGCCGGGCTCCAGGAGGAGAAGGAGGGGAGAGCAGGAGAAGGAGGGATTCTCGGTATCTACAAGGGAATTAAAGCGCTTTTACTAGAGTGAAGAAATCATCTAAAGAATGGCAGGCGAACAAAAGCAGCAAGGCTATGGACAAGTCGTTCTGAATAGATCCAGATCCCCTTAAGTTTGTAACACCCCCTACACACTTCTTTTTTTCCCCTTCCCCCCCTTAAGCCTTTGCTCCTCACTCCCTCCAAGAACAAATGCAGAGGGGAAAAAAAAAATACTAAAAAACCCACGAGGGAGGGGAGGAGTGGAAGAAAGCTAAAAAAAAATCAAATAAAATAAAAGGTAATCCTCAGCCACTTTGCCCCTCTGGGGGCTGCTCTGGGCCAGATTAAAGGTCCGGTGTGAAACCATTCTGCTATTCAGATGCGATAAGCAGGATTTACAAGCAAAGAGAAAGAGAGAAAAGAATGGGCGAGAGGAGAAAAGGAGAATTATTTGTGTCTCTTAATACTTGTTAAGCACTTCTCTTTTGCTAGACCAGACAAGACACAGCTATGCTCAAAGTCCGTGCACAATCCTGCCCGCTTGTGTCCCCCCCACCCCTCCCCGCTTCCCCCTGCCCCCTCCGAAGCAAGCAGGCAACACTTTGTTGCTACTGAGCTGAAATTGGTCTCCTCTCCGAGCGGCACACAAAGAGAATGGCAATTAACCTTCCTGTTCCCTGGTGACAGCGATCTAATCAGCGCTGCGCCTAGGCCTGTGCCAGCCGCTCAAAGGCAAAGCCCCCGTGTTTGCGGGGGGGACGGGGCGGCGAGGAGGGGGCTGCGGCTGCGTCCTGCACCATGGCCGGGGTGGGTGCTATGGGGAGAAGGGACTTGGGTTGCTTCCATCACCAAGGTTGGCTTGTCCAGCCCTTGGAGGATGCAGGTGGAGGTGTCGGTGGGAGCCACAGCCTCAAGGATGGAGGGCAAGGCAGCCTTGGGCTAGTGGTGGCCCACCGGGACAGCGTAGAGCCCTGTTGGGGCTTAGGGTGGCTGCAGGGATCCCACCCCAGGTGATATGGGTCTCGATGTTCACTCGTGTGCCTCAGGAGGATGATGCTCTAGGAAGAAGGCGGGGAGGCCGGCCTCCCATCACCGGTACTCCTCTCTGGAAGAGGGAGGCACCTGGGGGGCTTCACAGCTGAGAACTACGTGCCGAGACCCGCAAATACAGGCCTCGGTTTTGAAACTTCTCCACAAGCTCGTAGGCTTTTTATTTTTTTAAATGGAAAAATAGGCTTGTTAGAAAAGCCTCAACCATCCTTCACAAAAGAACCACTACTCATCAGTGCCACTTTTCAGCAATCCTCCTCCACTCCATATTTTTCCATTTTTGCAAGAGCTGAGGATGAGAAACAACTCGCGTGTTGTTAAAAGACCAAGATGTAAGTGTTGGGTTTGTGCTACTTTCAAGGGAGAAAAAGTGAACCTCCCAGAGGTCAGCTGAAAATTGAGAAGTGCTTTATTATTTTAAACCTCTGAAAAATCCAGCCGATGGCTAGTTCTCTAATTGTGGCCATGGATCCAAGCAACTGAAGCAGAGGTCTCAGAATCAGTCTTTTGCTTGCTGATGAGTCTGGTCTTAGATCCCAGCAACACAGGAAAATGACAGTGAGATGTCCTCTAGAAGAGGAAAAAAAAAAAAAATCTTTTTTATTTTCTTGCTAGTTCTAAAGAAAAAAAAAAAAAAAAGTCATCTTCAGCACTGTCGATGGAATTTTCTCGAGCAGTGAAATTCACCTGTTCCTCAAGTGCTACAACAAACATTTCCCACCACAGCTGAGCAGGAGGCCTGGGCATCCACCTCGGGGACATCCTGATGGGACAGGGGCGTTATGGGGTGGTGCTGACACCACAGAACTCCCTCTACTTTGGTTGTGCTGCCCTTCTCTTTGTTCCTAGCATAACGCTGCACTCTTATTTAATATCTGGTGGCCTTCCTCCAAGACACAACAGCATTTCAGGGACAAATGTGAACTCGCACAGGAAGCATTGCCCATAACCACTGCTTAAAACCCAATTCCCGACCATGTATGCATGGTGCAGAGCCCAAAGCTTCAACCCTGGTGGCAAGGACCCTTCCTTGGCCTTCTCCAAGGCCTGGCATGTCTCAGGGCACGCTAGCACGACCCTATGGCAGCGCTCAGTGCTCAGGAAGGTGCCAACACCTGGAGCTGCCAAACCTCCCTGAGGGCCTCCCTGCTGAGGGACAGGACCCCCACAACCCAGGGGGGAGAAGGAGCGATGGGGGGACCCCCCAAGCTGGCCTAGGGCCCACTGTGAGGCCAGCCATGATGGAGGCCCAGCACTCGGCCTGCTGCAGGGCTTTGGCCAGACAGGCACAGGCGTCTCCATTACACCGAAAGGAGGAGCATAATTGAGCCTAAATTGATTCAAACAGAGGCAATTAAAGCAAAACTCGGCCCCCCACTGGGAAAGCGAAGGCGCGGCTTATTTTTAACTCATAACCACCACAACAACCACAGAAACGTAATTAAGGGGCAGTGTTACACACACCCCCCTTCAGCCCCAATGACAGACCAAGTGAAATTGACCCCCCCGGTCCCCCATCCCATTAGCCACCCCCCCAAGCGCCCAGCCCCATCATAGCCAGCACCACGGACAGCCCACCCCATACCATCCACCCCCCTATAGCATCCACCCTCCCCACTATAGGGCCACCTGCCACTCTATAGTGCCCACCCCTTGCTATAGCACCTGCTCCCCACTTATACCCTCTGCCCCCCTTACTTATAATGCCTGCCCCCCATAGCACCCACCTTGCTATAACACCCACCCCACTATAACACTCAGCCCCCCTGTTATAATGCCCCCCTCCCTGTTATAACTCTCACCCCGCTGTAGTGCTCACTGCCCCACTTATAATGCTTGCCCCCCAGCTATAATGCCCACCCAACCACAATGTCCACCCCACTTAAACACCTGCCCCACTATAACACTCACCCCACTATAATGCTTACCCCACTATAGTGCTCACCCCCTGCTATAACACCCACCCTGCTATAACACCTACCCCAGCTATAATGCTCATACCCAACTTATAACACCCACCCTGCTCTAATACGCACCCCACTATAACGCTGACTCTGCTATAATGCTCACCCCAAATCCTCTGTGCTCTCCCATTTTCCGGCCCCAGAGCTGCTGCCCCGGCCCTCCGCTGCCCCCAGCTCTTCTCCCAGCCCAGGAGCATCCCAAGCATGGCTCCGTGCCACAGGGCAGGGCTGGCGAGGTGCAGGAGGCACGGTTACATCGCACAAATCCTTCTCCTTTCTTAGGTGGAGACCCGGAGCGGGGCTGGATCGGCATTGCTCCGTCTGCAGAGCAAACAAGAACCATCAATTAGAAGTAATTACCACCCCCTCCCCATAACTTAAGAGGCTAATACTAGGCTTCATTTTTAAGAAAGGTAATTTGACGGCCATAAATTACAATTATAAAAACTTCATTAGAGTCGGTAGCAATCCATCCACCATTGTTCTAATTACACACTGTAGGAGTAATGAATGCTAATGGTTTAATGTACAATAATTACCACAATTGAAAAATAATAATAATACAGAACAACCTCAGTTAT